CCACTTCTTCCTTACTAAAACCATCCTCACAGATGACCTTGATTTACGTACAGACAAGCCAGATGAAGATTTTGTATAAGAGGGAACGTAGGAATGTGGGTCAGTAATTGATGTTTTCTCAGTTGCCTTTTTATAAAAACCATGATTGTTTCCATGCCTTGGTCTATTCCTTCCCTTTGGAAACCTTGGCTATCATTCTATCCTCATCTTCACAATTATGGCTCCTCTAGCACGGATCTCACTTATGTTCATTTTGCCCAGTAGAGTTGTTTGACTCCTCTTTGTTCTCTCTTTATTTGTAATTCTACGTCCCTTATAAACACATGTGGGACTATTATATTAGGACTGAAGGGCAGTAGTTCCATTGCTCTTATTGTATAAAACATTTGTTTTAATAATCTTCATAGATCTTTTCCATTTTTCTTCTATCTGACTCCCTCCTTCCATTTTTATCCTTTAAAGGCATTCGTAGTTGAAATTACTTGCTTAGTTGGTATTTCTTGCTAAGCTTAAAAAAAAAACAAAAACAAAAACCAACAACCCTCTAATGCTTTTCCCTACTTTATGAGATATTTCTCCTAATCATCCACCATCCTTCATAAAATTTTACAAACGAGTTTATATTTTAAACCACTGTTGGCTTTGGCAGTCATCTCTCTACTTGGCAATTGCAGTAAGTCAAATGTTTGCTGACTAAGGTGCTTTCTAGGCTTTTCTGGTATTCTTGTCATAATATATTTACAGTGGTTAAACTTTGGTATAAAAAAATTGTAATCAGTGTTGATGTCATTTCTGATGTCCATTTCTCATTATTGATTTCTTATAATGTCTTAATGGAGAAGATACCTTGTTTGAGGATAGCCTTCAAGGATATATTTAATTCAACTGAGTGAAATGCTTTTTTAAAAAAGATCACTCAACAATAGATACAGCAGTATCTTATTTTTTCTATACCCCTATAGTCAGTTCTGTGGTATTAAAGATGGAGTCCACGATAGGAAGTCACTTACAAAACTCCATCGCTTAATCTTTTCATATTTTCATAAAGAAATCCTCAGTTCATGCATTCTCATTGAGGCTCTTCCAGCAACAATTTTTTTGGGGGGAGGTAAAAGTATCATCTGTGAACCTTCTTATTCTTTTGAAATCTTTATACTATTTGAGAGAGTTTGAAAATCAGTTCCTAGGCACCTTAAAAATTGTGTCCACTCCAACATGACAATATGTATAGATTTTCCATGTGTATCTGATCACGTCTAGGAGCTCTTTTGGATAACGTTCTTACATATCACTGTCATTTCTGAACATAGGTGAAAGACATCAAATGTGGTAATTCTACTAGCATTGCTAACAAATGTAGATCAATATAGTAACATTAGCAGATCTGTTCTATTTTGTGTCTTTTATCCTCACTCCAATTTCTTTTCCAAATGCTATCTAGACAACTGGACATAGCCAGATCTCATGCAAAGCTGGCTGCAAGCTTATTTTCCCTTAAAAAACTTTTCACTATTTTATAAGAACATATTGCTCAAAGTGTTCTATTTTCCTTCCTAATGTATTCTAAACTGATGTTTTCCTTGGTTACCATGTCTCTCCACTTAACAAGGAGATTAAATGTTTTCTCTAACTCATCTCATTTAATCTTGTTTTGGTGACTTTTTAAAAATTGATTACAGTTTTTAGTGATAGAATCAATATCTTTATATTTATCCATTTCTCATTTTAAAAAATTAATAGTCTGTCTAGGTTAGGTCAGAGCTACTGTAATCACATGTGGTCTTTACCCTCTAATCTTTGTCCTTCTGTTTGATTTGTTATTTAATCAAAAAAAATTTTTTTTACTCTAACCAACTGATGGTCTGATTACATATAGATATGAATTTGTCAACTTCAAACAATCTCTCAAGTAGAGCCTAGATTACCACATAGTCAATAAGCATTTATTTAACGTCTACTATGTGCTAAGCTCTATGCTAAGCAAAAAACAGTCGCTGCTCTCAAGAAGCTTATAGTCTGAGGGGTGAGATAACATGCCAACAACTATGTAGAAATAAAGCCATATACAGGACAAACTAGAGATAACCAAGATGAGGAAGGCACTGGCATTATGGGGAATCAGGAAATACTTCCTATAGGTGAGACTTTCGCTAGGACTTGAAAGAAGCCAGGGAGGCCAGAAGATGGGGATGAGAAGGAAGAGAATTCCAGGCATGAGGGACAGCCAGTAAAAATGCCTGGAATTGGGTGATGGAGTATCTTATGTGAGGGAGAGCAAGGAGACCAGTGTTGCTGGATTATACAGTATGCTGAGGGGGTGAGGGGATGGAGGAAGGAAAGGAGTGAAGGGTGTAAGATGACTGCATATGTTGGAAGAGGCTAGGTTATGAAGAGCTTTGAATATTAAACAGGATTTTCTCTTTGCTAGGGATATTTAAGAGGGGAGGCATGGTTATGAGTTGTGCTAGATGGCTTCTGAGATCTCTTACAACTCTGAGAGTCTATTGTTCTAATAACCCCTTTATTTAACTATTCAAAGAAAACCTATGATGCATTTTTTCATTAAGCTAAAACTTTTTTTATGTCTTCTGGTTTCAATTATGCTAATATGGAAGTAGTTTAATTATTTCTACACAGCAAGGTTCCTGTTAGTGTGAAACGATTGCATTATTTGCAATGTGCAGTATTCCAAGTAAAATGATAAGTAAAATATGGTAATTAGGTCCAGCTCAATGGAAATATGCAGTACAAATTCAAATAATGCGACCACTTAAACCTTTTTATTTGCACTAATTGGGACCTAGCTTTAATGTGTTAAGTCAACTTATTTTTACCTAAATAAAGATCACAAAAGAGGAGTTTAATTAACTTTCATGGAGAGTTTAAGAACTGTGATTCTTAGCACCCCTTGCCACCATCATTCAGTAAGCTAAAGGCCCCCATGCAGGACAGAGAGTCATTTCGGATTTTCATTCATTTTATGGGTTGCTTTGGCCAAAAAAAAAAAAAAAAATCATGACGATGACTGATAATGAACTTCTTTGAATCTAGCTAGGCGGTCCTTGGGACTACACTCCTAAGAGAAACCAGAGTCCCTCCACACCAGGAGGAAGTACTGCAACAGAACCTATATGGCAGCATGTGGTGCACATGAACTAAGGTTCCATAAAGTAAGTGATTTCCATGGGGCAAATTCTAATAAGGAGTTCTCATCGGTTTCAGTTTTCTTAATTTGGATTCTTCGCTGTGTATGCCTCTCAAAAGACTTGGCTCTCTTATTTTATTTTATCTATATTCCAAAAGTCAATCTAATTTAAGGCGACATTAAGGCCCCTGCCTGGCAACAAACATTTGCAATCATTTCCTTTTCATGGCACTCCAGCCCACAGGTTTCTGCTCAGGGGGATTAAGGACACCAGCAGCCTAGAAGGACACAGGCTATCAATCTCTTCTTACTTTACAGGCTCAAAGGATAAAAAGATTCTAGAACTGGAATCTTAGAGATCATATCATCTTTTCCATCTCTTCTTTGCCCTCACTGGGCCTAGAGTCAGATAGATCTGAGTTCAAATCTAGCCTCAGACTAGATCTATTGTGCCCGGCAAGTCTTTTAACCTCTATTTGCTGCATTTTCCTCAACTGTAAAATGGGAATAATAACAGCACCGACCTCTGAGAGCTATGAGTATCAAATGTGATAATATTCATAAAGTGCTTAGAACAGTACCTGACACATAATAGGCGCTTAATAAGGAAGGAAACAAACATTTTTTAAGGGTACCAACCCTGACAGGTAGGTACTATTATTATTCCCATTTTACAGTTGAAGAAATTGAGGCAGCAAGTGGTAAAGTGTCTTGTACAGTATCACACAGCTATGAGTATTTGAGGCTATATTTGAACTCAGATCTTCTTGACTTCAGGTCTAGCACTCTATCCACTGTACCACCTAGCTGCCTTAATAAATGCTTTTTTTTCTCCTTCTTATTTTACAGATAAGAAAACTAAGGAACAGAAGTTAAGGCACTTGTGAAAAAAATTAATTACTAATTAACTGAAAGCTACTTAAATTCAATACACTTTTATTAAGTGGTAACTATGTGAAGGGCACTGTGCTGGGTGCTGGATATTCAAAGACAAGTTCCTGCTCCTAAGAAGCTTATATTTTACCAGAGGAAATCACCACAGACACGGCGAAGTAACTAAAAAACAAAGACAAAATAAAGTCATTTTGGGGGCGAGAGGACAACACTGACCAGAACTCTGATCTCTTCTGACTTGTGGCACCAATTTCCCCCCACTACTATTATTTCATGCTGTCTCCTTTGTCAAGGTCATCTGAATCTGGATCAATCTGAATCATCCTCTACTTTCCCTAGAATATCTGCCATTTTGTGGAACACATTTATATTGGTGAGCAAAAGAGAAATCAGGTTAAATATCCTAATAGATTTGAAATCCAGAATAGAGCCTTTTTAAAATGCCATGCAATGGAAGAGAGTGCCAGGCTGCCCATTAAGTCAGGTAAATCACCTATCCTTTCTATTTCTGAAAAATTGGAAGTATTATCCCTTTCTCTTCCATCCTCACCAGGTGATGAGGCAGTAAAATGAGATGACAGGTGCTAAAGCACTTTGAAAAGGTATGAAAGTAAAATACTATTGCTTTTCACTGTATGAGAAGGTGGTCTATGGTCTGCCTCCAGAAGGAAGGCATTCAAAGTCATTCATTTTAATTCCCAGGGGACACATGTTCTGAAAACATTGTACTGTAAACTGGTCTGAGAAAAGGAGAGAGACAAAGGGAAAAGAAGAGAGATAGAAAAGGAAAGGAAGAGAAAAAGAGAAGAGTGAAAGAGAAAGAGAGAAGGAAAGAAACAGAGAGAGAGAGGGAAAGAAAGAGGAAAAGAGAGAAAGGAAAAGAGAGTGTGAGAAAGGGAGAGAAAAAGAAGGAGGGAAGAGAGAGTAAGAGGGGGAGAGAGATTTACTATACTTTTCTTACCACAAGAACATGTTCCAGTAGATCCAGGTATCCCAAGGTGCACTCAGTCCCATAGCGCAAAGCTCGGGCTTTCACATCTTCAGCAACATCAGCATGATATGAAGCTTGCTAAGGAGAGAAAGGAACAGAGACCTTAAAACAGGAAGAACCAATCATATACCGATCAAAGCAGAGAAAGGAAGTTTCCCCCCAAATTCATAGGATCATAGAGGTAGACCTGGCAGGGATAGAGATCTCAAAGACCCTCTTATTTTATAGATAAGGAAACTGAGGTCCAGGAAAGATGAAAAGCCTTGCCCTTGGTCCATCCCACAGGTAACATGTCAAAGGCAGGATCTGAATCCAGGATCCTGACTCCAGAGCTAGTACTCTTTCCACTGGACCACAGTGAATTTTAAAATCTAATTTCTCAAAGATATTAACGTGGGGGAAAGGGGTAGATCTACAAGCTTCACTGTGAATTATTAAGGAAATAGTTCTTAAAAGTGAAGAAAATAAAGGGTCACACAGAGAATTATTTTTATGGTCATTGGATAGCTGATTGTGCTATCCAAAGATTTAAATCAAAAGTCAGAAATAATTTAGAGAAACTCAACTGGCTTTTGTGTTAGGAACAGGAAGAAATTAATCATTTAACATAGAATTTATTTTTTATTTGTTCAGAACATCAATAAATATAGATAGAAATTTAGCAATTACTCTGGGTAAGGGAATCCTAGGCAAACAGCAGACTCTGAGGTTGTTCTCCGAGTCTTTTATCTGAAATCTGATGGTGTTTCACTTCTTTATTTAGTTCCTATTACAGAGGTGAATAAAACATCAGCTTTCAGGAGAGAAAGAGTCGTGTGCGTAAAACAGACACTTTTTTCCAGAGTTGTAATAGTGGGTGCAAGCGCTCGTTCCATTACAACATGATTTAGCTCTCACTTTCTTTTCAAACTGAAATCGAGGGACAGCTAGGTAGCGCAGTGGATAGAACACCAGCCCTGAAGTCAGGAGGACCTAAGTTCAAATCCTACTTCAGACCAAACACTTGTCATGTGCTAGCTGTGTGACCCCGGGAAAGTCACTTTAACCCCAATTGCCTAAAAACAAAAACAAAAAAACTTGAAATCGAATGGTTACTTATGACTCCAGTTCCTTGGTGCTACTCCACTCACCTCAGTTTACTGCCTACAGCCGAGGCCCTGGGAGCAGGCTAATAATTAATGCTCGCTTCCCTCTCCCATTTATAGTACCCTGAAATCTCTTCATCTCTCCTCTCTCTATACCTAGCGCTTTAAGTAGGAGTGGATTTCTGTACTCTCTCAGTGAAGCAGAAGAAAAAAAAAAAGCCAGGCAATAGAAGCTTGGGAAGGGCCCCAAGAGTAAGCCGGTAAATGTTTGACAACTGTCTCTCCAGAAAAAAGAAATGTATCCGTGATCCACTTTTAAAACTGCATTATTTACATTTTCTCCATCACTCTCTAAGTCTAGACAATCAACAAAAAAATGAATCAAGCCCAGATTTGTGGCATTTGCTGATTTCTAAGGGGCAAACACACTGAGAATTGAACAGCTAGGTTTCCTGGTGAGTGGCTCCAGCACACACCTGGGTGGGCCTCAAGTTGAGTGAGACAATTGTACCACACAACGTTAGAGCTGGAAATGTCCTTAAAGATCATCTAATTCAACCCTCTCATTTTACAGAAGAGGAAATAGAAGCCAGAGAGGGTTGGGATATAAGCATAGATCACCCAATGAGTTCCACAAAACACAACATCAGGCTAAAGATTCTCATAGAGGCAGGGTGGATAAGGGTACAATCATGGGACTTGGTGTCGTGAGTGCCCTGGGTTCAAATCCCAGCTCTGTAACTCTGGTTATGTGACCCTGTAATGTCTGACAGGCCTAAGACTGTATGGTAATAACTGCTGTAGTAGAGGGAACCCCTCCAATGGGATTTCTTTATAACTATTAAATCACAGATTTGGAATAAACAAACATAGCTTAAGGCTAAGTCATTCATGTGTCATCTAACAGATAAGTAGCTAGGCTGAGGAGTGGATACAAGGCTAGCTAGACTTGGAGTCCAGAAGACCTAAGTTTAAATCATGTCTCATACACAAACATGTCACTTAACTTTTTTTAACCTCAATTTACTCATCTTTGAAGTGAGGATAAAAACAGCACCTATCTCATAGAATCACTGTGAGGATCAAATGAGAAAATATATGTAAGATGCTTTGCAAATCATAAAGCAATAGAAAATGCTATAATTATTGTTATTATAAAATAGGTCCAAGGTTATTAAAGATTTTCCCAAGTTTATACCAATTGTAAGTGAAAGAGCTGGGCTACTCTAACTCCCAATCTAGCGATTTTTTTCAGTGTCATGGTATCTTCTAAACATTTACAAATGGATGAATTCCAAGTAGAAAGGCTTCTTTGAGATTCTGCCCAATGTAGTCCTTTGGTTTTTTTAAGGAGGACATTTTCCCCCCAGAGTTTTACCAGATAATTCAAGAAGGATGAATGATATCTTAAAATGCAACACAAAATATAGTCACAGAAAAGCAAACTATGTAACAAAATACCAGCTTCAAGAACAGCTGGTTTTTGTTTGCAATAGATTGGATTGTATATTCTGGATTGCATATAAATTGAATTTTTGTAAATGGAATTATATTTGAAATGCACTAGAGAAATATGCTATTTGGAAAAAAGAAGCCTGTGAAACAGTCTTGTCACAAAATAGGTACTGTCTTTGCAATATCAATAATTGTCCTTTAATTTAGCCATGTTCTATATTCAGGTTTATGCATAATAAGTTTGCTTAAAGCAGGATGTACCTGTAAAAACATGATGATACTGTCAAAATTCTGTTATCTGTGCAGGAAGAGAAGGGTTGTGTTTTATTCTGCAGTACTGGTTTTACTCTGTAGTATTTTTGTTTTGTACAACATTGTGACATTTTTCTAGGCAACAGCTTTACCGTCTTTGTGACATTTCCTTTGCTTAATATGAACATTAGTTTGGTATAACAGAAAGATCACTGGACTGGAACTCAGGGGAGTAAGACTGCTAACTTGTCACAGTTGGAAGACAGATGGCTTAGTGGAGAGGGCACTAGGCCTGGAGTGAGGAAGATGTGGGTTTAAATAAAGCTTCAGACATTTACTAGCTGTGTGCCCACGGCAAGTTGCTTCACCTGCCTGCCTTACTTTCCTCAACTGTAAAATGGGGGTAAGAGTCACTTCTACCTCCTAGGGGTGTTATGAGGATCTGATGGGATGATACCAGTAAAACATTTAGCACAGTGCCTAGCATATAGTAGGAGCACTGAAAAACTGCTTATTTCTTTCCTTTCTTCCTTGGGCATATCAGCTGATTTTCAGTCCTAGTTTCTCAAATATAAAATGGGGGAATCTTAATCAATAGTCTCTAACATCCCTTTAAAATATAAGGCAGGGTAGAATGATGGAGTAAACTAATCTGGAATTTGTTATGGATAAGATACATCTAATTTATGTGTATGATCACTGGGAAAAAAAGCTGACCATGCTGTATTCAATTAAAAATAAAAAATAATTTAGAAACTCAGATTTTTGTGTTAGTAACTTAACTTAGGTGATAAAATTAATCACTTATTAAAAAAATAGATTTTATTTGCTGCAGGGCTCCAATAAATGTAAAAGGAGATCTAGCATTTACTCTGGGTAAGGGAATGCTAGGCAAATAGGTTAGGTTCCCTTATGAAGCACTGATAAGTCTGATGGTGTATTAGGCTCTTAATTCTATACTCCAGAGGTGAATCACAACGCAGGTTGCCTCCTCTGTTCTCTACCTCCTGTGATACCCAATACCTTCATTCTGCCTGCAGGTAGCAAAAGTGCCCCCTTCCCCCATGGTGTTCTATCTTGGGATAATTAGTTTAACCCATTATCCTTTACCAGGAACATATCTGCATTTTAACAAGGGCCATCTGGATAAAAACCATAAATAAAAATACCCTGATAGCTCAAGGAAGGGGGTGGGGTGAGGAGGGGAGATAGACCTTTCCTTGCCTCTTAAATCACACATCTAGGTAGTTACCTACAAAGAGTGGCCATTGTCACTGAGAGATCTCACACCTAAAAGACAATGGAGAGGCCCATGCTAGTCAAGAGTATGCAGACACATTACAAACTAAAGATTTAGCAATCTAAATCTACATATATCTATATCTATCTATCCCTCTAACAGACATTACATATTATAAACATATATTCATATTACATATGTATATACACACACTAGAAAAGAATGGAGATTTTTTCTTTCTCTCTCTACACACACATACCCACAAAAACTCCCTTCTGACCACAGAAGATCACACTGTCTCATCACCCTTCTCACTCTACCCCTATGGTTTCTTCCTCTGATTAGTGAGTTATTTCCTGAACCTCCATTTTAACGAAAGTTCGCTGGCTGGCCATGTTCACTCCTTTATTCCTCTTTGGGAATTCCATTCCTCATTCTCTGGGCTTCCACAACCCACCTCCCCTCTCCACCTCCTTCCCCCTTGCTTTTCATTTTTTTCTTTATGTGAAGTCTTCCCCATTAGAATGTAAGGTCCTTGAGGGCAAGACTTTCTTTCTTTTGGTTGTATTTGTATTCACATGGATTAGCAGAGTGCCTGGCATACAGTAAGCACTTAATAAGAGCTTGTTGACTAGAAAAGAAGGATAGGCTGGTCATGTGGCAAGGGTGAACAGTCTATAAACTCCTTTGGGATCCAGCTAATATCAAGGGAGCTAGAAGTAAGCCTCTGGCACACTGGATGGAACCCTTTTGCATGACTTAGAGGAAGATATAAATAGGAGTGAGTCCCTCAGAGTATAAATGGGTTGTAATCCATCACTTTTAGGTATAACCAATCAATCAACAAGCATTTATTAATTGCGTATTATGTGCCAAAGACTGCTTACATTCTACTGACCCACATGGATGAGATTCATGTGGTATATGCTGAAAGAACCCTTTCCCCTACATCCCAGTTGGTGGCTATATATTCCTTTATCTTCTATACTCTCTGTTGGTCACACAATTCCTATGAATTCCTTACAACTAGCAGCTGCTTTGGGGAC